GATGGTAAAAGGTAAAACACCTTCTAGGTAAGACTTCAGTACATTTATAACTAATATAAATCTCCATGGGTATCTCCTTAGGGAAAATAGACCAATATTTTTGTTGAAAGTGGGTAAAAATAAAGTGTACATGATCAGTCTCAAAAGGAATAGCTTTTGGACCAGAGGACCTTCAAACTGAAGGAATCATAAATGTCCAACAGAAAACTAAGTGGCATTTTAATTCATGTCAGGAGCTTGACTTACAAACTAAGCCAAAGATGCTTTTTTTAAAAAAATGAATAAGATCTGGAGATCTGTTGTACATCATTGTATTTATAGTCAACAATATTTATGGTACACCTAAAAATTTTTAGGAGGATAGATCTCATGTTGTATTCTTACCAAAATAAAATGCAATAAGTTAAAAATTCATAAATTTTTGTGTTTTCACAATGGTAAGAAAAAGAATCTAAGATTTATTAAATGTTTGCTATTTCCCCAAACACCAAGCAAAGCCCTTTCTTGGTTCTATGTTCCCTACACAACTCTCTAAGAAGGTATTAATCCTATTAATACAGGAGGACCTGAGCTTTGGGGATGGTGACAAGGCAAGTGAGTGTTGGAGAGGGACACAAACCCAGAGAGTCTGATTTTAGAACCTGAGCTCTTACCTACCAGCAATCTATCAGAAACAAATAGACACCAGATTTTTAGCAGGTTAAAACATTTGTTAACAGAATGGAGTAAGTTTCTATTTTCTATTTGAGTTGCTTTTTAAATGGCATAAAAGAAAATTTTCTCAGTTTGGTCAGAGTGACCTTTGTCTTATCTCCTATTTTATTGCAAACGACTAAACATTATGAGAATTTTTAACTCTACAATAGGCCCTCTGTTCAAGGCCTACTGGCCTACTAGATTGGTAGATACTTTGGCTAGTTTTGCCACCTCTCTATTTTAGTGACATTTCATTTTTTTCGTATCTTAGGAAAGAATGTCTTTCTTGTTGATGGCACTGCTCTGCATTTAGCTGTCAGTGGGCACATTTGTCCTGGATGCTCTCACTAAGGGATCTGTACATCATACCCTGAGGAGATGACTTGGGTAAACATGTCTCTGAAGACAATTTGAATGTGCATATGACAATCATGCTCTGCTACCAGTGCTTCTCAGACTTTAAGGTGCATTCAAATCATCTAGGAATGGGGCACCTGGGTGGCTCAGTCGGTTGAGCATCCAGCCTCGGTTCAGGTCAAGATCTCCCAGTTCATGGGTTCGAGCCCTGCATCAGGCTCTGTGCTGACTCTCAGAGCCTGGAGCCTGCTTCAGATTCTGTGTCTCCCTCTCCCTATGTCCCCCACCCCCGACTCATGCTCTGTTTCTCTCTGCCTCAATAATAAATAAAAACAAAAAAATCATCTAGGAATCTTGTTAAAATGCAGGACCTGAGATTCTACATTTTTAACAATCTCTCACATGAAACTGATGGTGCTAGTCCACGGACCATGAGTACTAATGTGCTCAAAACTACTCAATTTTTCTTGGGTATGGGGAGAAAATCTAGCTTATTTCTGAAGTTAGGGAGGAAAACCTTCCCCATAATTTTCTCATTTTTCCTGTTTTTATATATCCAATCATAAAAATCAGGTTATAAATCAAGTTACGTGTTTTTATGTTTTTAAACAAAGGTATCCATAAAAGCAATTTTAAAAATAAAAATTTAAAAATTTGGCCCCTAAATCCATTGGTTCAAATTACTCTTCTTGGATTCAAAGTCTTTGCAATTTAAACCCCTGCCATAAATGAGACCATGGAGAGTCATTCTGGAAACTTCTAGAACCATCTGGCTACCAGAGAGCTGCCCAACCTCCAATCCCATCTTGGGGCAAGCAGAGATAAGGCTCCTTTAGTCAGTATAAGCTAAACCTAGAACTCTGGGCATTAAAAAAGACCAAAATCAAACTTTAGAATGGCTCTGGAATTAGTTCCTTGACCCAGTGGTCCTATTTTAACAAGAGCCAATTGTGGAATTTCCTACATTTATTCAGAGTCCTCTTTCAGGGTACTTTTGTCCCTGTATCCTTCCTGTTACTGTCAGCATCACTCATTTTTGCTCTAACAAGGATATATATAGTACATATAGCAGAAGCAAGTGTAAAACTGCTACACTTGGTTCCCAAGATCAAATTGTACAAGAGTGAAATAAGTGAGACATAGAAATTGGCCATTTTCAAAAGAAAAAAAATTCATTGCCTGTCTACACAGAATAAGTAACCAGAATAATGTTATTCAGCCTAGGAAGGCATTAATAAAAGAATAGTGCCTAGCACAAAGGAGGTAATGGGCTTCCTCTAGTTTGCATTGGCAAACCCATACTTGGGGGTACCATGGTGTTCAGATGTGTGTGTACACGTGTGTGTGTGTGTGTGTGTGTGTGTGTGTGTGTGCATGTGTGTGACTCAGTGAAAGTATGGGAAGGCAAAAGGAAGAGCAGTCATGATTTAGGAGAAACAGTGAAAAAGACCCAACAGATTTCAGAAAGATAACCACCATCTGGTTTCTCTTTTTGAAGATAAGTAATGAAAAGAAGTTGAGAGGATTTCACACTGTGTTATAAGTTAAAGGACCTAGGGATATTTGCCTTTGAAGTGTGTCTATGTGGGTTTTAGAGGGAAAGTTACTTCAGACCTGTTAATGGGTGGATGGACAGATGAATGAGTAGACGGATGAACAGACAGGCTGTATATATCTATTGCATATACTATTATATATATCTATTGCATATACTATACGTGTCAGGCACTCTAACAAGAACTATACATGTACTGGATGATTTCATTCTTCAAAGAATTATTTAAAATTAGTAATAATTCCCCATGTGAAAACTAGTAAATATAAGGCTAGATAAATTAAGTGACCTGTCCAAAGTCATTGACTGGGTGACTCCATAGTTCATGCTCTTAACCTCTAGTTAATAACCCTATGTGACAGCCATGGAGGTTCACTGCTTAGATGTCCCTTAAAGAAATAATTTGCTGGCCGGCTGTGAGAAGTACAGTCAGCTGACAGCCTCCAGCTGTTAGCATCTCCAGGATCTGGTTGTGTCTTCTACCAGAGACCATGCTGTTTCTGAGAAGCCCCAGTGACTGAGCATGGCAAGGGTCACAGGACCTGGATATTTCTGCCCATTGTGGGCTCCTCTAATATATAGTGTTTTCTGAGAATATTCCCATTAAGTTGTCATAGACTTTGTCAGATCAGCACTGTAGTCTGATGCTCTCTCTGCCCACTCCTGCTCCCTGCCCTTTTATCTACTACAGGAGTAATCCTGAAAACAACATCAAAAGAAACTTCTTTCACTCCATCTCACTGCTTCCTGAGGGACCCAACTGGCACATACTGTGTCTTCAAATACTTGGAGTGCTGTCATATGAAAGGGCACTTAGAATTGTTTTCATATGGTGATGAGGTGTTGGATTAGGAGAAACTGACTGAACTAGCAAGGAAGCAGCTTTCACATATGCATAGGAAAGAACCTTTTAACAACTAAAACTGCACAAACAAGGGGATAGGCTGCCTCAACACTGATGAGTTTTCAGTCACTTCAGTCATTCAGGCCAAGAGGAAAACCACTTGTAAGGTTGTGTGTGTGACATTACCACAATCCCTACCCCATACACCATGGAGCATCTAAGATGCTAAACATCCACAATGCTAAGTGAGTAGCAAAAATCAAATTTTTTGGGAAACCACACCAGGAAGACCATACCTTTGATTTTTCAGTGGCTCGATGGGTCTGGTTTCATACATCCATACTTGTACACTCCCATGGTAGCCCACCCATTGTCCACATACTTTTATTTATTTTATTTAATCAAAGAACTCCTAGCAGGTGAGTTAAGGCTATAGGCTCATTGTCTGCACGGGCTTATTTGGCAGGATCAAAAACAAACCACGCATATGCTTTGTGAAACATACTGTAGTAGTGAGTTCAGCATCTGATAAAACTTTAATGACACCCTCCCCTGACACCTGGTTCTCAAGCTCAAGAACCTGCATACCTGAGACTGAAAGATTCTCTACCTCAAAGCTGTTGCCTCTCTCCCTTCACTAAGACATTTGACACCAAGGAGGAGACACATAACTTGCCCCCTTCCAGCATTTCCACAATGGACAAATTACATAAGTAATTATATATCTCAGATGGTGAAATAAAAGGCGGGAAAGTCTGGTAGGAAAACAGTAATCTAGTCAGCATACGAATCTGTATATGAGGAGACATTTATTAGGTGTGCAAATATTTACTGAGCACTTGCCAAAGGTTAGACTTTCTTACAAGGACGGAGGGCACAAGGATGTGCTTGACAGAGTTCCCTGATTTCCTGGAGCATGCTTTCAAATGTCATTGAGATGGGCACCTGGGGGGCTCAGTCGGTTAAGTGTCCAACTTCAGTTCAGGTCATGATCTTGCATTTTGTGGATTTGAGCCCCATGTTGGGCTCTGTGTTGATAGCTCAAAGCCTAAGCCTGCTTCGGATTCTGCGTCTCCCTCTTTCCCTGCCCCTTCCTCTCTCTCTCTTTCAAAAATAAATACACATTTAAAAGAATAAAAATTAAAAAGCCAAATGTCATTGAGAAAGCCTGCTGACCCTTCACTGAGAGAAGCAATCAAAGCCACACTCACAGTGACCTGTAGAACCTCCAGTCTGATGTCTTTATCCTCTCTCCATCCCCAAATTTCTGCAGCGTCCCTGTCATTCATACTCTATATTTTCAAGAAATATTTCATTATATGTAAAGTGCTCTGAAGCCAATTCATAAATTTGCAAGGGGAGTTCAAAAAAAAAAAAAAAAAGCAAGCTCAGCAATATTTGGGGACTTTTAAAACTGATGACACAGCTGACCTATTGGAGACACAGGCAGTGGGAGGGCCCTCACTGGTGTAAATAAATAGGAATCTCTGTGCTCAGAACCCACAGTTTAGACTCAGAGCTGAAGTCTGCACTCCACCTCGAGGCAGAATGAGGTTCTCCCTGGGATCTCTGCTTTTCATACTGCTGGTCTGCAGCATCTCTCCAGTCCATGGTGAGAGCTTTCACTTACCTTATCATTGTGCTTTGAGCAGAAATAGTCTTCAGCCATTTCTTTTATTTTTAATTAGAAAATGGGGAGCAATATGACTGAAATGGGCAAGGGGAGACTGGTCAAGTCCTCCTAAATTTCTAAAAGTAATGTGCTTAGAGATTTAACTCTTAGAAGTTAGAGACACTTATGTTGTTAAGATTGTCATCCATAGATAGAGATACTGAAGTCCAGTGTTCATGTGACTTATTGTTGGTTTGTCTATTCCTGGTCTTTTTCAGATTCAGTTCTGCTATAACATTCTTTCTATGTATCTCTTCTTGGCTCTGCCTTTCAATGCTGCTCCTTCTGACTAAACCCTTTATAGGGTTTAAAGATAATTGACCTCAACAGGTTGGTCTCCGGCAGAGAACACTTGGTGCCATTCTATTTGGCTAGCTCTCACATGAGTCACTGTGAGCACAACATGAGTACTTAAGTACATGCTTTCTGCAAAGACGTAGACTTCCAAGTCTAAATGGGGCGACGATGTTTGTGTAAATAGATAAACATCTAGTTGGGTTTATAAGTTTTTATACAGCTGAGGAAATCCAAGGCATGTACAGAATGATATACTCTGCTCAGGGGCGCCTGGGTGGCTCTGTTGTTAAGCGTGCAACTTCGGCTCAGGTCATGATCTCACAGTTCGTGGGTTCAAGCCCCATGTCAGGCTATGTGCTGACAGCTCAGAGCCTGGAGCCTGCTTCAGATTCTGTGTCTCCCTCTCTCTCTGACCCTCCCCTGCTAAGGCTCTCTCTCTATCTCTCAGAAATAAATAAAACATTAAAAGAAAAAGTGATATACTGTGCTCAGGTATAAAAGACAAATTTTTTATCTTAAAGTGTAAGGTATTGTTTTTCCATTATTTTGCTTCACATTTTATTTTTATTCTTCAAAAACTTCATCTTTCTCCTCCTCCATAAACCTTTCCCATTGCCCTGGCAAAGTTCTCTGTTCCCATCATGCAGTTTGGATCTTGGGTGTGAAATACAACATTCTGTGACATTTTAGTTTTTGTTCATTTGTTTCCTCCACCAAATTGTAAATGCCTGAGAGCCAGGGCCCTTTTATTTGCAAATATGTGTAAGCATGATATTAGGCACTGGGTTTAAGAGGGAAGAATTCATTAAAATACATAAGATAGATTAATTTATAAAAGTATCTAGTACTAATGACTTCTGTTGTTGAATAAAAAGTCTTGAATTTTTATTATAAGCCTTTCGTTGGTAATAATTTGCAACTGAGATGGACAGGCATATTAAACAAAAACAAAAAATATCATCTGTGGTATTTCCTTGGAGAAACAAGGAGGGGGACAGTGAGCATGACAAGCGCAGCTTTTTACAGCTCTGGGACACTGTAAGGAATTTATGTCTTTGGTTTTTATGTTTGGAGGGAAGATCAAATCAGTTGATTTTACATTGTATTAATTATAAGTGAGTTTTAAGTCCCCGGAGCAGTGGTTCTCAAATTTTATTATACAATCACCTGAGCACCAATATAATGCTATCACAAATTTAATAGGTGTTGTGTTTTTAGAAAGCTAATTTTATTTTTAAGGTTTTGGTAGAAAATGTTTGAAAATAAGCTAAGACAAGCAGAAATACACAAACTAAAGGCATCTGGGTGAAAACGCTGACTTGAAATTTTTAAATCTTCAGATGCACTGTATGAAAGATTAGTAATTAGGGGCGCCTGGGTGGCTCAGTCAGTTAAGCGTCCAACTTCAGTTCAGGTCATGATCTCATGGTTCATGAGTTTGAGTGCTACGTCGGGCTCTGTGCTGACAGCTCGGAAGCCTGGGGCGTACTTTGGATTCTGTGTCTCCCTCTCTCTCTGCCCCTCCCCCGCTTGTGCTCTGTCTCTCTCTCTCAAAAATAAACATTAAAAAAAAAGAAAGATTAGTAATTAAAGTTTTGAATTATATGCCAAAGGGATTAAAATAACTAATTGTGTTTACAGGTGTTCTGGAGGCCTATAACACAAACTTAAAGTGTAAATGCGTTCAAGAGACCTCAGTCTTTATCCCCTTCCAACTCATTGAAAGGGTTCAGGTCTTGCTTCCTGGGAATGGATGCCCAAACAAAGAAGTCATGTAAGTTGCAGGAGAAAAATGTATGTGATTCTTTTCTCCCAATGAAAATCAGATCAAACGTTGCCATATAGTATTTTTTTTTTAGTATTGTTGACATATAATGTTGCATTAATTTCATATGTACAGCATAGTATTCTTATTCAAGAATTTCAAAGGGATTGATTTTGAGAGTTGCTAATAATTTTCAAGCTAATAATGGGACTCAATAATATTTGTTAAGTACCTACTTTGCAGCAGCCCTGAGCTAAGTGCTTTATGCACATTTATTCATCATATTCCTTTAACAGCCCTATTAAGTTATGTCTATTGTTATCACTCCTCTACAGTGCAGAAACTGAGACTTAGGGAGGTTAACTAACTGCTCTGAGGCACACCCTTAGAAAGGAACAGAACCAGGACTCCACCCAGGTGATCCCCTTCCAAGCCTCTTCTCTCTTCCATCAAATTCAAATCACTAGCAGAAGCAGACATTTTGTTCCCCAGAAGTTAAAGAGCAAGAAAATAAGTACCCACTACAGTCCTTGGTCTGAACATCCATTTTATGGGATGGTCCCTTAGCTTTAAGATGTACCAACTTTGATACCATTACTCTGATTGAAGAGTTAGGCTAAGGAGTCAGTCGTGGCTGCAAGAAATTTAGTAGGTATTTTCTTTAACTGAAATGGCATTGACCCTTTGTTTCTCTGATGCTTCTTTTTCAATACTTTCAGAGAAATCTGTAGATACTTCTATCATAACATTTTCCCTGGCACATCAAATGAGAATTTACACATTGCATGTAAAGCCCCTAGTATAGTGCCTGGCACAGTAATAAATGTAATAAATGTTCAGTAAATGTTAGGTGTGATTATTATAGCATCACTGCATTGAAACAATCATGTTTGAGGCTCTCTTTCTCTCTCCCTCCCATTCTCTCACCAGAAATAAGTTCTTTATAGACAGGGATCAGATTTATTTGTTTCTCTACTCCCAATGCTTTATCCTTTACCTGGCACAGAGCAGAGATACAACAATGTTAGATTGTTACACTGAATAATTTAAAACAAACCTATAGATCTTCTGTGTATCACTACTTGGAACTTTGATTTCTCCTTCCTAGATCTATCTTTATGAACCGAGCACTCACAGTACCTGGAAGTATTAGACACAGCATCTTTCTCCACATTCCTAACTTCACTTTCTCTAGCAGCTCTGCCCCTGTACTTCTTTAGACATTCAATCTGTTTGTAAGCAGCCCCTTTTTGTCCCATTTTGATATGTGCTTTGGGTGTTGCACTAGTTGTGTTCAACTTGTAAAAAACAAATATGGGATATCAAAAGCATGTGCAAAAATTTTAAAAAGCCATTATACTTTTCCTGATGTCTGTACCAATGAAGGTTTTAGCTAAACCACAATTGTTGCCCTCAAATTCAGAGATGCTATGTCTAGCTATGACCTTGGGAGCAGTTCCTCTGGCTGCATAGAAACCTGAGACTCTCTCTCTCTCTCTCTCCTTTTCTTTTTATTACATTTCCTCTGTCCTGAGTCAAGTCTCTAACCTCTCAACCTGAGGAGATAATGCACCCTAACTTTCTCTTCATTAACACCAAGCATTTTGAAGTGACAGAAGTTTGATTTTATATCTTCCCACCAAATTCTGTGTTTCTGAATTTTAACCAGATATAGAAACAAAAGCTGGAAATTATGAGAAACACATAGCAATCAGGGTAAAAATGCTCTGAGTCCAGATGGTCAGAAATCTATTTTCCATCATGAACTCAAAAACCAAAAATGTTATGACCTCTGACCTCTCTAAGATTTATTTACAAGGGTGGAGTTTCAAAGCTAGGTGGACGGATCCTTGCTATCTGTTGTTTCATAGCTAAGGTAAAGGTGTAGGTCAAAGGTCACCCCAGTAGAGGGTTGAGTGTCCCAGTTCGCTATCACCTGGGAGACCTCACATCTTTCACTGCAGGTAAAACATTCAGAACTGTGTCCAGCACTTACTGATAACCATTCAGACCCTGCCCACGTAGAGTGGTGGCTAAAAGTGTGGGTTTTGGAGGCAGATAACCTTCATTTGAATGCTGCCCTGCCTTTGCAGCTGTTGCACACTCTTGGACAAGTTATTTAAACTCTATAAACCTCAAGTTCCTCATCTAAATGTAAGGAAATAACAGTTCTTGACCAGAAGATTTGTGTGAGATTGACATAATCCATGTTACTTGCTGAGCATAGTGACTGGCACATTGTAAGTGCTTGATCAATATTAGCTATTAATTATTGTTGCTGCTTTTGTTGTTGTTGAATCTCTCAGAGCAGTGAAAGCTTCACTAACTAGAGGGTCAACAAAATGCCAGTGTCACTCAGAGTGATCAGCTCTGTAACCTCCCCTTTACATTTCACTGAGTTTGTTTTTCAAATAAAATTTCCTCAAGAGAGTGTTTTTAACAGTTTATTCTGTTCTCCCAAGCTCAACAGACAACCACATTTTAAAGATAATGTGATATAGATTTAGAAGTGAGCCAATCTTAGCTATTTGGTCCACCTTCAATTCATGTAAAGATTATCAGCAAAGCATTAACCCCTGACCTGTAGATTCTGTGAATCTCATCTTCAGCTCCACTGGCTCACACACAACCATTCCACGAATGGTGTTTTCCTCATTCCTCAGACCTCACGCTACAAGTCACCTACTTCAGATCCCAAACAGCCCACCTCCAATTTCACTTAATTTATATTTTTCTACTCCACTCTCCTTAAGTGCAGGATTGACTAAAATGTAACACTATTTTATTTTTATTTTGTTTCTTTCCCCCCAGCATTTGGAAGAAGAATAAGTCCGTTGTATGCTTAAACCCTCAGGCTAAATGGGTACTAAAATTAATAAAAATGTTACGGAGGTAAGTCAGATATACCAAGGGTTTTCAGATTCCATTCTGTACTGAAGGGCTTCCCTTTCATGGGTAGTCAAAATGGGGACGATTTTAATTATTTATTTTTTTAATATTTATTTATTTTTGAGAGAGAGAGCGAGTGAGAGCACGTAACTGGGGCAGGGGCAGAGAAAGGGGACGACAGAGGATCTGAATGGGCTCTGTATTGACAGCAGACAGCCCGGTGCAGGGCTTGAGCCCATGAATCATGAGATCATGACCTGAGCTGAAGTCAGATGCGTAACTGACTGAGCCACCTAGGAGCCCCCAAATGGGGACCATTTTAAATTTATAAGAAATTCCTAAGACAAGTATCCATTCTTCACTATTATTACTTTTCAAATGAGTACGGACGACTCATTTCAGTAGCTCAATAAACTAAATGGAAAGCCAGTATGCACAATAGTCCTCGTTTGTCATCTTTAAGGGAAAGCCAGTTTTTAGAGAGTCTCTCTGTGAACACGATTCTCTTGTTCTTGTTTTTCTTTCACAGAAAAAATGCTGTTTAAACTCCACAAGTTCCAGTGCTTAAGAAAAGGATCAACTGATGCCAATATCCATACTAAGGACACCTGCAAACCCCTTCCTTCTGCTCTGGGTTTTAGTTTGTATTTGACTGACTCTTTCCAAAAAAAAAAAAAAAAAAGAACTTCTCCCTATAAGCGAGCATGAAAATATATGTAAAATAAGCCTACAGAAACTGATGGGGCCAACTTGAGCTTTTTAAAAATCATAGTACCCTATATACTTGGACTTTGCATTCTTATTAATCAGGAGGAAAGTTTCCTTGAGGATACTTAGTAATTAATAACATCGGTTTCTTTGAATAGCACACCTATTGTTTATGCTAAATTTTCCTAGAAAATAGGGGAATAAGAATTTAAACCTCAAATCTGAACATGTGGCTTGAATTAAGAAGGAAATGATGGAATTCATTTCAATCATTTCACACTGTAAGAAAAGCAGGCTTCCATAACAGACTGAAATCTGCCTGGGAAACCCAGGGAGTTTTACAAGAGACAGAGGGCTCTCATCGTAGATATCTTCCATTTAAAGCTCACTATTGAGAAAAATGGTGAGTTCGAAAGAGTTCTTTTATTTGATTTACTGTCATGGACAAAAACTAATAACACTCAACAATCTCCAGACTTATATTTGTAGAATATTCAGGAAAAGCATTTAAAGCTGATATTCAGATGTCTCCTTTTATACATTTGCTTTGACAAACTTTTCTTACTCATATCTTTTGCACAGATTTTTTTTCCCCTTTGTCTCTGGTACCCGATTCTTTAATGCTTCCTATTAATCTACTGCTATTCAATAAACTCGAGTAAACATTTTACTTAATTATGAGGAACTCGTTCTTAACAGAGCATTTGCTCAAATTTAGACATTCTCTGACTCATCACAATGAAAAGTAGGATTTCATCATGTTAATTTTTGTTTGCATGATGCTTGCCTTTTACAGTTGTTTTAAATTATGTGGCAATGGGTAAGTGAAGTTATTCCTGATATTAACACAGGGAAAAAAATGCTTGACCATGAGAGCTTCTTTTCCTCAATATACTCATCATCATGTCCACCAGAGATTTCCAAATTCTTACCAAAACCTATTTTCACTGTCTCATTGTATTGGTTCTTAAAATCTCCAATGTTTCCTGTGACAAAGTTGTGCACTGGGTTTGACAAACAGAAAGAGTAGATCCTTAAACCCCCATCCCCTCCTTTCCTGGATGCATCCTGGCTCTCCCATTAGGGCTGGGCTTGCCCAGTGGACTGGGCTCCACCGCCCTAGTGCCCCTCATTCCTCTTGCTGCTTGGGAGAGGCCATTCTAATCATGCCCAGGTTTGAAGCTATATCTGACTCCCACTTTCAATTCTCTCTTTTTAATTTTTTGACTTATTTTTATTAAATAGATTTCTTGGATGGGAGTAAAAAGAACCTATTAATACTACTTTTTCTGTTGTCTACTATAGGAATCATAAAATGGATCATAAAATACCATCAAAATCATGCATTCTAGCACCTTCCAGATTTCTACTTTTAGAGGCTGGGAATCCCATTACTCTTTAATTTTGTTTAGGTCTTTGAGAATGCAGCTAGACGAATATTCAGGATCCTCAAATAAGATGTATTATCATTTCATATGAGGCAGCAACTCATGTCACCCTCATTTTACAGACATAGAAGCTGAGACACACAGGGGTTAAAAACTTGCTCGAGGCCTTACAGCTACTAAACAATAAACCAGAATTCAAACTCAGGCAGAGTGCATGCTTCTAATCACCACACTATGCTGACTTTCTATGGAGCAGACATCACCAGCTTTAATTTACAGAAGGTGAAGCTGAGGCAAATGGACATTTACATGCCCCAAATCACATAACTAGTAAGAAGACAAACCAGAATTCAAACCCAGGGCCTCCTGACTCCTAAGCATATGTATTTCTTACCTCAGCCCCTTTGTCCACCATCCTTTTCAGGGCCATTCAAAGTTCCAGAAAGTTCAAGCCCCCTTGGGTTGAGAGGGCAGCATGAAAACAGTGGGCAAATGTGGGGTGAGAAACGTAACAACAGGACCAGGGAGGGTTCTCAAACTTGCTTGCTTTATCACTCAACCACCAGCTTCTTAAAAGTCACAGTAGATTTCGAGGTGTTCAGCCTGATTTGGGACAGGGATCTCAACCCACAGTTAAATGCAGGATAACTTGTTGAGTCATTTAATGGAGTGTCTGAGGAAAAGTGATCATTAGCTGATCGAAGTGTAATTGGGTTCAGAAAGGGAGATATAGTGAAATGGTAAGGCAGAATTCAGGTAATCCATGGCTACATACATACAAACATACATAATCAAATTAATGAAAATCCAGAGTAAAATAGAACTGAAGGGAAAACACAAGGTAATGCTGACCAAAGCAGGATGTTCAACTCCGGGAAACAAAATGCAGGAGTAGAAGGCCAACCTATGCAGGGAGCTCTTGGTAGCAGAATGTAGGGAATCTCTCACAAAGCAAGCCAAGTCTCAATTGCTTTTCTCAGACCTATCTGACTGATAGAAGCCCAAGGAGGAAAAGAGTCTAAATCTCAAAGGGAAGCAGAATTCTACTTCTATCTTCTGAAGAAGATAGAAGGCTTAGCCCCATCTCACCTGGACATGGCTTGCCCAGCTGTATGAGTTCTGCCTTAGTGGTTTCCATTTTCTATTGCTTTCCTGTCTACAACTCTTTCCTGTCACTGAGATGTGTCATTTTACTGCTCCCAACTCTGTGTAAGGACTGGTACATTACCAGGGCTGTTTTTTTGCTCTGAGGTAACGTTTGGTGGTAACTTTAAACAGAATGAATGTGTTGGTTTACGGAAAACTTGGTGGAACTGAGAGAGGAAGCCCATGGGTCAGAAGGGTAATATTTGAAAGAGAAATCACATCATTTTGTGACCCTCAAGGACAGAAGTTCTTGATGCCTAGTCCCTCTGAAGAGCACCATTGGCAGCATCTGGACACTTGTCAAAATACATATTCTCAAGCCCCTCTCCAGGCCTACTGAATCAGAAATCCAGGAGTTGGGCCCAGAGTTTTAATAGACTGTGGTATAACAAAAAATGTATTTCCTGGTACAGAGCTCCAAAATTCCTGGGAATTTCCTGACTCATAGGAGTGTCTTTTGTTCAGAATGAGCCCCTTTCAATCACACCTAAGTTTACGCTAGTGAGGTGACCATTGGTGGACCCTTAGATAGCTTCAGGATGGGGGCTGATTACCGGAAGAACCAACCATGTAATTAAAGAGTTGGAATTTTCAGCTTCACCTCTGACCTCCAGGGAAGGGAGAGGGGCTGGAGACCTTCAATCATCAACCACACGTATGTAATGGAACATCCATAAAAATCTCTAAACAATAGTATTTGAAGAGCTTCTGAGTTGGTGAACACATTGAGGTGCTGGAAGGGTGGTGCATCTGGAGAGGATATGAAGCAATATGCCTCCCCACCCTGCTCCTGCCCATACCTCATCCTATGCATCTGTTCCACTTGGCTGTTCCTGAGTTGTATTTTATAATAAACGAGTAACAGTAAGTAAGTCACTTTCTGGGATTCTATGAGTCACTCCAGCAAATTATCAAACCTGAGGCAGGGTCGTGGGAATCTCACAACATGTAATTAGCTAGGAAGAAATGTAAATAGCCTGAGAACCCCATTTGCAGCTGTTATGTAAAGTGGGAGTAGTTTTGTGGGACTGAGCGCTAAACCTGTGGGGTCTATGCTAACTACAGATAGTCAGTGACAAGATTGAATTAAATTGTTGGACACCCAGGTGGCATCAGAGAATTGGAGAATTGGTTGGTGTTAGTAAACACTTGAGGAGGGGAAAAAACACTTTCACAAACCCTCCAGGTGATTAAAATTTGAAAAACATTGTTCTAGGAGAAGGGCTTCTAACCCTCATAGCACATTAGAGTCATCTGGAGAGCTTTCTTCTTCTAAGTGTCAGGCTAATTGTTGTAATTTATATATAATAAAATTCACCCTCTTTAAGTATTCAGTGAATTAGCTCAAATTACTTCTGTCTTAGTCAGTTTGGACTGCTATTGAAAAGTACCACAGACTGAGTGACTTATAAATAACAGAAATTTACTTCTCACAGTCTGAAGATTGGAAGTCCAGGATTAGAATGCCAACATGATTGGGTTCTGGTGAGAGCCCTCCTCTGGGTTGCAGACTGCTAATTTTTTCCTTGTATCCTCACAACAAAGAGAAAGAGAGGGAAGTGAGCTCTTTGGCAATCCTATTCATGAAGACTCCACCCTTATGACCCCATCTGATGCTAATTATCTCTCAAAGGTCCTCCCTCCTAATATCATCATATTGGAGGGTAGAGTTTCAGCATACGAATTTTGGGGAGACACAAACATTCAGTTCATTACAACCCCAGCCCCTGTTGTGTTCCTATAATTTTGCCTTTTTCGGAATGTCATATAAATGGAACTATACAGTATGCATCTTTTTTGCCTGGCTACTTTCACTTTGCATAAAATTTTCAAGATTCATGTTATTAAATATATCAATGGTTTAATAATTTTTGTTGCTGACTACTATTCCAATGTATGCATATACCACAGTTGATTCAGTCACCAGTTGATGGGCATTTGAATTGTTTTCAGTTTTTGACTATATGACTATACTTGCTTTCAACATTAACACACAAGTCTTTGTAATAACATATGATTTTGTTGCTCTTGAGTAAATACCTAGAAGTGAGATTTCTAGGTCCTATGGTAGATGCATATTTAACTTTATAAGAAGATGCTAGACTGTTTTCCAAAGTAGTTCTACTATTTTGCATTCCCCTCAGCAATACATGAGAATTTCAGTTCACATCTTTGCCAGAGAGAGAGGGAGTGACAGACTCTGAAACAGGCTCCAGGCTCTGAGCTGGCAGTCAGCACAGAGCCCGACGCGGGGCTCGAACCCACGAACCACGAGATCATGACCTGAGCGAAAGTTGGACGCT